TACCCGTTTTAATTTCCTGGGAATCCAACGTTCGTTGCGTGGAATGGTTAATTGGTATTCTTCTAGTATAATAATCCTTGGGTCACGTTTTAGGAGCGTCATGTTTAATACTGACTGATGCGAGTGTGATTTGGTTATTGCGAAAGTTGCTGACCTGTTGCGATCGGTGAGTGTTCTTTACTTGAGGACTGACATTTAAACCACAAAGTTGAAGAAGATGCAAAAGGAGATAGATAGACAATAGGTAGACATAGACATAGATAGAGAGATAAATCCCAAAGTCTCCATTCGTAAACATCTAACTCCACGAATTTTTAATCACCCAAGTCTCTAGACTCACAAGTTTAGATCGCGAGGTCCTTAGGTATCGATGATATTGGTTATAGATATCCCTGGACGTGGATGCCCTTAGATACCGACATCCCTGGATATCGACGCCCTTATATAATGATACCTCGAAATCCAGATATCTCTAAGTACCGATGTCGATACCTCAGCCTCCTTAAATCCCGATATCTCTACATCCCTAAATCCTTAAATCCTGATATCTCTGTGTCCCTAAATCGCTAGATCCCGATATATCTATATCCTTAAACCCCTAAAGCTCTAAAGCCCTAAAGCCCTAAAGCCCTAAAGCCCTAAAGCCCTAAAGCCCTATATCCCTAAATCCCTAAATCCCTAAATCCTTATATCCCTAAATCCTTATATCCCTAAATCCCTATATCCCTAAATCCCTAAATCCCTAAATCCCTAAATCCCTAAATCCCTATATCCCTAAATCCCTAAATCCTTAAATCATTAAATCCCTAAATCCCTAAATCCCTAAATCCCTAAATCCCTAAATCCCTAAATCCCAATATCTCTAAATCCCTAAATCCCTATATCCCTAAATCCCTAAATCTCTAAATCCCTATATCCCTAAATCCCTATATTCCTAAATCCCTAAATCCCTATACCCCTAAATCCCTAAATCCCTAAATCCCTAAATCCCAATATCTCTACCACATTTCCCCAAAGAACTCAGATTTGCTCTCGACTGTACATCTATCAAGATACACCTTGAAACAAAAGGTCAAGCATTGAACGCAAATGTAAATCATCGTACGATTCGTGAAGTGTTCGCGAAAAGGTCCTTTCGTTTCGATCGGAATCTAATAAAAAATACGATTTATGAGTCCCATGCTTTATGAAAATCATCCTCGGATTCTCAGCATAGTATCCGTAAATGGAATTGTGAAATTTGTTGTGTGTCAATGCAAATGCATCCCCTGGCGTTATCGAAGAACCGATCAAATGCACGAAACGATTCGTTGTTACGCAATCTTTTTTCAACGTATGTCAGACTAGGCAAGTATTCGACGGATATCCAGCTGTTTTGATTCATCGTGACTAGAGAGCTCCACCTGGAGAAGCGTATCTCTCGGCCGTGCTATCACGGATCTCGAACCAATGAGACCGTTAGACATTCTATTTCCTTCGTGTCGTCTGTAACGGTGACACCAAGCTTTATTACGATTCCAAGGGGAATGGAAAATCACTTTGAACATCATGCCGTACCAGGATATTGACGTACGACAGGGACTGTAAATTTACTTCATCCTGTAACTTACAACGCTAGGCATGTCTGACCCAGCAATTGTTATTCAGAATAGTTACTTTCTAAATATAATTCTCTTATTTTCGTAGGTTTATTAACATCGCCTCGCGCTATATCGCCACTCATTACGTCATCAGGAATTATACTATCGAGCATTTTATTACCAATCGATTGTATTAAAATTTTACTACCATGTGTTAGAATACCAACGCGCTATTTGACCTCGCGTTATATTGCCACGCACTGTTTCACCACGCACTGTATCATTAATCGTTTCAACATTAACTGTATCATCAAATATCAAAACCGCGCTGTCAAACCTCGCGTTATATTGCCTCGCATTATATTGCCAACAAGCTGATTTATCTCGCGTTATATTGCCACATTACCAATGCATTGTTAACCTACACGTTATATTACCATTGCATTGTTTCAACATCAAATTGTATTAGCAACGAATATTTTTACCTCGCGTTATATCACCAACATGTTATATTGCCAACACGTTATATTATATCATGATACATTGTATTTAGCATTATATTGCGTTACACCATCAGTGTATAATGAAATTTTATGTTGAAACGCGTTACATCCCCAAGTGGCAATATAACGAGAGTCTTCCCTTATATCATACATTAACGATGCATTATATTCAGCTTTAAATCACATTGCATCGTCAATGAACGTATGATGGAATTTTATGTTGAAACGTGTTACATCCCCAAGTGGCAATATAACGAGAGACTTCCCTTATATCATACATTAACGGTGCATTATATTCAGCATTAAATCGCATTGCATCGTCAATGAACGTATGATGAAATTTCATGTTGAAACGTGTTACATCTCCAAGTGGCAATATAACGAGAGACTTCCCTTATATCATACATTAACGGTGCATTATATTCAGCATTAAATCGCATTGCATCGTCAATGAACGTATGATGGAATTTTATGTTGAAACGTGTTACATCCCCAAGTGGCAATATAACGAGAGACTTCCCTTATATCATACATTAACGATGCACTGTATTTAGCATTATATCGCGTTACACCATCAGTGTATAACGAAATTTTATATCGTAACGTGTTACATCCCCCAATGGCAATATAACGAAAGTCTTCCGTATATTCGATTTGGGAACGTTAGCGTTGGTTCAGTAGTTTTCTGTACTAGTCGATGTATCGATGAACGACTATTTCGCTACACGGCACATGATCGCGATTATTGTTATTCAAATGACGAGAAGTTACGCCCGGCGGTGGTCGAACAATTGGCCAGCATCGAAATTCTGCACAAACATTTGAACGAGCGAATCGTCAGACTCTGTGCAAAACGATTCGTCCATTATCTAATTCTGATTGTGGTCATTGTGGTACTGCAGCCTTTATCTATGGAGATTTCGATGTGATTTGAACTTGTAACCTTTTACATAATTTAATATAAAATTATTAATCTTATTGTTTAACATGACTTCCTTTTATGCCTCTAATACTTGTTCATCAATTATATCCATGTCAAAAATTACTATTTAAGGTTTTTTTACTGTATATTATCGAAGTGTTAAAAACAAACGACGCGAAAAACAAATAGATCCGAACAACGGACAAAAGCTCTTCGTCCAGTAAAAATCATACATCAAAACATTACTTCTCCATCAATCACACTAGCTCGAAAGGGAACAAATATTCCTGGATTCTATTGTAAGACTTTAAGCTTGCTTTGTCGACGATTGATGCGGCACAAGTGCCGTGCACAAAGCTTACTGATACCAGGCACCATCAAATCATGTTCGTCCACAATTGCAATCTATCGGATACGCGTCAGGTATCGCACCTTCAGCGGACAAATAATTTATTGCGATCAAGCGAGCAGGCAACAATATAAGCAATTTCGTGGGTACAATACACCCGGTCGGACCGCCAATAAATATGAACAGACTAGTAATAAATTACGAAGGACGATTAGAGCCGGGAGACGATAAATTAACGTGGACGCATCGCGCGCTGATATCGACGACGCGTTCCGCGTACGATCCGCCCGATTGGACGACAGATTAATTCCTTTTTGCTTCGCGATTCACCTCGATGAACTCGCTGTTTTTTCTATTAATATCCGCTCGTTCGAAATATCTATAGAAGACCGATTATTGCAAACTCGTGCAGAAACTGTTAGAGACATATTTCTCTTTCCACTTAAATTTTTGTAAACTTTACATCCAAGGACACTTTCGTAATTTTATCGTTTTGATTTTTAAATTTATTCTTGTCAAAATTATAGACGAAGTTTAAACACCTGGATGAATTTAATTTAATAGACTTCAATTATGAAATCTAACCTAAATTGGTACACAATTTTATCATTCGTGTGTAATATCTTACTGTTCATAGATAAACTACGTTATCGTCACGAACGTGCACTGTAATCGCAACTGCAGTTCCAGAGGGCAGCAACTATTCGATGTAGTAAAACAATGACCAAGATGAGATCAAGATTTAAAAAAATATTAAACAGAACATAAATACTTCTCTAAATATTATAAATATACTGTATTATTATATAATTCAATTATAATTGATATTTTGCAATAATAAAAAAAAGTAAATGTTATACGTTTAATAGTAAGGATAAAAATTGAAATTTAAAATATAAAAAAAATCACTTCCTTCGAGCCGGATTCGAACCAGCGACCTATGGATGTCTCTCATCAACTAACCAACTACAGTCCACCGCTCTACCAACTGAGCTATCGAAGGCGTTGTAACAACGTTTCGTTTTAACGTAAACAACCTATAGCCCCTCATAATGCAATTATCAAGATCCTTATTAATGGTAATATGCATATATCTGTATATACAAAGCACACGTGTTTACGGCAGAAACCTAACCACAAATATATACATGGATATATAGAGTTAATATATTATAGTAAATTTAATATATATTGTTAATTATATATTTAATATAATTTAATATGTCCTCGATTCAACTAAGAATAACCATATAATAATGATAAACATTACTGCAATAAAATAGGCGCAAATTATTCGTACGTTTTACACTGAAATTATCCGTGAAAAGTATTAGAAGCAAATGTTCCGACATATAAAACTTATTTGAAAGGCACACGATGTTATCTGTATCATTTACGAAAAAGAGTGCATATTAACAAATTTGACTTTCAAGGTTAATTCCAAACGCGTATCTTTTTCACATGTCATGAAAGTTAGGTGACAATTAGTGACAGATATTGGTTTCTGGTTTACAGTGTGATTACTAACCGAATTGTAAGAACAATGTGGTTTTTTAATGATATGAAAAAATACGGATGTGACAAATCATCGAAACGGATGAGATTGTGGTTAAAATAATTCGATAGGTAACCTAAAATACACTTACCCAAACTGCAAATTGTAATGTCTGATGGTCCGGACGGTAACAGAAATACCCCTTGAGACCGACGTCCACAAAGTTGTTTAATGAGGTTAACATTTATTACAGACGTACGTCAACTTCGCTCAACATTTTGCACAAACTCCACACACTTTTGTTTACACGTACCGCACATTACACTTTTTAACGCCGAACGCCACTTGTCGAACGTTTCGGATCAAATTTCTTACTGTCAAACTCGATCAAAATAACGCAGCGTGCTGCCACCTGTCGGCGTTCTAGAAACTTTCTGTATGAACTAAATAAATAAATTAAAATTGATTTTTCTAATTTTCCACCACCTTTCGTTATGTTGAATTAAATCGTTGTGAGCTTAATCACATAAAATTAAGCGCAAGTCAATAATGGCGAAAAGAATTTTAACCTACTTATGTTAAAAGTGAATACAAGGTCTGCATTAACCTTTCACTTTCACTTAATTAAAAACGCATTATTTATTCAACGCAAATTGTTCAAATAGTAGTTTTATAAATACAGTACACTTTTGTAACTAATTTAACAAGAATTATTGTTGTATAATGTCACTTTTCTCTTATTTATAACAAACTCACGAAGTTACAATTGCCCGCCACTACACCATTTTAAATACTAAATTCGTATATAATTGCATGATTCCATATTGCATGTGTTGCCCTCTTCTGTTCAAATATTCACCTATTGTTTTGTTTATCATACAAGGTTAAGGAAGACATTAATGTTTACAATTCCGTTCTAATTATATGTTTTATTATTCTAAAAACAACATAAGTACGATTTGTTAATATAAGAATACAAGATTGTGTGAAATGCAATACTTCATTGTTAATAATGATCAAATGAATTGGTAAATATATTATTATTACATCATATTTTAATTTTATTTAAATAATTGAATTATTATTATTTACTTCCAGTTTGTCTTCACTTAAAATAACATTTTACTATGAAGTATTCGTCTCAAATCATTACATCATTAAGCAGTGAATTAAAATTGTATGACGAACTATTTAATTTTAAAACAAGGAAATGTAACCTAACCTGAACTACAATCAAACAAGTGCGAAGAAAAAAATGTAACAGCCCGTATTTTTATTTGGTTTTTTAATTTTTTATCCTGCATAAGAGATGACGAAAATAAATATGGAAAAATTATTGTGAGCAGAGATAAAATGTATTGTTCCAAGTTTAGAGTTAAACATTTTAAATAATTATCTGGATATACAAGCTGCAAATTATGCAGTAGATAAGAAAATGGAACAAAACATAGTGTTAATTAATTCTCATAAACAAAATGGTCAGATGATAAGAAAAGAGACAGAACCCTGGTTTAATGAACAGAATTTAAATGTGAACCAAGGACAGCTAGTATCGCTTGACTCACCTTATTATAAATTCCAAAATAATATAGGTAAGTTAAAGAACAAGAAAACATATATTAGTTTTGACTAATATAACTTAATTGTTTATGTTCTAACATATATGTCATGGTTTCAATAGCTACTTCGGTTGGTATGCCAACAAATAGTCAATGGTGGAGAGAATCTTCTATTATGGATGTAGTTACACAATCAGAGTATCAACAAGGAACAGCTGTTTCGTCCAGTTATCCATTAACAAGTAAGAAGTAGGAGTAAATAACATTTTATTAGTCATAATTAATGTTTACACTGCTAATCTGTATTTACGCTGTTATAGATCATTCCAGGAGTACTCAGCTATCAGATCAGTTGAAAGAAGTAGAGATAAATGGAAAAAAATCTATAAAATCTAAACAGTTAAAAAAATCAAAAACAAAGAAAGATAGTTGGGAACCTTTAAAACGTACAAAAAATCCAGAACAATGGAAAGTTAATATAAAAAAAAATGCTAGGCTTAGAGGAGAAGAATACATTGGAGTTGGAGGTGATTATTATTTTGTTTAGAAGAAATGTTCAAAAATAGAAAGAGATAGATCTACACTTGAAACTTATAATTTGCAGGAAAAATAGTTCCAGCAAAAACAATGGGACCGCCATGTAAATGTCGCATACGTTGTTCGGATAAAATTGACGAAGCGGCTAGGGAAGAGTTGCATAATGTTTTTTGGAAAACGTGCAGTTGGGAACAGCGGAAACAATACGTTGCGCTATTGGTCAAGGAATCTCCTAAGCAACGGACACGATGTCGCGGAAACGTTAAATCAGAACATCGTAGACAAGTTACATTTACTTATTCTCTTTTATTGAAAGGACAGTTTATCACAGTGTGTAAGTGCATGTTTCTCAGCACTTTTGCGGTGTCTGAGAAATTTGTACGTCACGTAATGGATAAGAAACGGTCGTCTCCTGGAGGAGTCATAGGACCAGACCAAAGAGGAAAACATACACCAAAAACAAAAAAGAGCGAAAATGTTAAAGATAGGGTGCGTGAACACATTAAATCATTTCCGACAGAAAAATTATCGGGTTCAAGAGATTGTACAGCAAGAAGATACCTAGACTTTAGATTAAGTATAGCCGCAATGCATAAACTTTATGTATTGAAATGTAAAGAAGAAGGTGTTCCAGAAAGTGATATAGTTAAGGAAAGTTACTACAGAGAAATGTTTAAAACAGAATTTAATCTTGGTTTTAAACTATCAGAATCTAAAGACGATGAGCGGTTACCAGATGCTATTGAAAATAAGATTATAACTAGTGATTAATAACGTCTTTATTTTTATTACATACTGAAAAATACTTTATTCTCAATGTTGCCATATGTTTCAGTTAGAGTTGTTTACGAGTATTCTCTTTTGCTACTAATACAATACTCTTGTTGAGCTTGACATTACCAATTTTAATACTAAGGCCAGCATTTCAGCTTTTAAAACAGTATTCAGTAAATGGTATCAAACAACGTTGTTACATAACAATATATTTGACAAATGATGATTAAAAATCTATTATAAGAGTACAAAATGATACATAGCCTTTTACATATTGCAATATACAAGTCCATATATTGTTTTATATTTTCTGTAGTCTTTTTAAAGTATATAATTATAAAATGTTCTTTGAACAGGTTTCCAAATATAATTACACGTTTTATGCTAAAGCATATACAAATGTTAAATACAAAACATATTTACATATATTTTTATATACTGTAACATTCATTATAAAATATGCTATTATCAACACAAAAAATAACAGATCTATAATTTTAATTGCTACGCTTTTAATGTACAATAAATCATAGCTTTAGTATTTAGTAATTTAAAAGGATTATGTACAAAATATACAAAATATTTTTTTAAAAAAATTATATACTATGCAGAATTAAACGCGACGCATCATGTTAAAGTGTATTGTATTTATGGTTCAGTTTCCTTTTGATAACTTTAGCCGACTACAGTACAGAGTTTCGATTCCATTACCATTAATCCAGTCTTTTCTCCGAAAGTGAACTGACTTCTTTACATCGTTTCGTTGCAGCCTCGATTGCCCCGATTATTGCCGATCTCAAACCATGTTGTTCCAAATAATGAATTGCCGTTATGGTAGACCCTGAAGAACATAAGAACACATAAGTAGGAAAGTAATAAGACATTAATAAGTATTTTATGCAATTCTCTTCTAACCTGCTGGTGAAGCCACGTCGTCTTTAAGTTGTCCTGGATGAGTATTCGTGTCTCGGACCATGGTGCCAGCTCCAAGAACAGTTTGTGCGGCCAATTTATACGCGGTATGCCTCATCAGACCCATTTTTACAGCTCCATCAGCTAAAGCTTCTATCATCATGTACACCTGAATAAAATATTTTTATATTTAACTTTTACTAAACATAGTTACCAATCATATTATAGATATCTTTTTAACTTACATATGCAGGTCCAGAACCAGCTAAAGCAGTGACAGGATCAATTAGATTTTCAGGAACTTCTTCACAGAAACCGACTGCAGAAAACAACTTCTCTGCTATTTCTGCTTCCTTATCTCCAGCCGACGTTCCACGAGCGTACACGGTCGCACCACAGCCCACAAGGGCAGGGGTGTTGGGCATCACTCTTATCACTGGCGTGCCTTCCGGAAGAGCCTAAGTTAAGATCAAACGTTTCAGTCTTGAAATTGCGCATCATGATAAGTCTTATGCACAACGTAAGCCAGTATAATCTCTTGATTACTGCAATTTACTTGTTTAGGTTTTGCAATTACCTTCTCCAGTGATGACAGCGGAATGCCCATCGCGATAGACAGTAAGAGTTTCCTGTAATTCTTTAAATCTGGGAGAACTTTCGGTACCACCTGTGGTTTCACCGATAAAATCAGAACATCTCCGTGATCGATTACGGGTCCATTCGTGTAAACAGTGCTGGATCCTAATTCCTGGAAATGCAATGCAAGATAAAATGAGCTGCACTCAGAGCAGCTTTTGTATGAATTCTGTTATAACCTGATATCCTTAGATAAGCAACGACTCTAAGCATATGTTAATTATTGTGAAGACTTTATTTAGATATATAACAGTCAGTGTCAAACTCAATATAAATATATCGGTAAGTTATCAAATTTGCAGTGATCTAAGCTCCAGGGTTATAATGTTGTTCATAGAATTATCGTGAATGATAAGCCGACACGATACTGGAAATTTTCCTAGGTCCGATAAAGAGAAACCAGAATTGATGCAAACTTTATGGGCAATTAATATTACGTTATCGACGAATCAGTTAAGATTAATAACGAAAGATTTCGAAATCGATCAAGTATCCTGATAGTACATTCGCGAACTACTGATCAAGATTATTTTCGATTCGATAATAATTGCTAATTAAATGTGCCGAAAGTTTTTTGTTGCTTCCACGAAATAGTTCATTTCTCTAAGATCTTTTTCTTTGATAAACCGTGTGCGCTATCAAACACGTGCACAAGGTAACGTAGTTGTTGTGTACCGAACCGGTTTCCAAACACGTTTACAACTTTCGTATCTGTTTATCGAACAAACAAGAAACATTTATTGTTTTGATGTTTTTTCCAAGCAAATGCTAGACTGATAACGCTAAGATTGCTTGATTATCTATCTTTTATCAGGATGCAGCGACGAGGAATTGCGACGACATAACACGAAGCATCATTTTCACGTATGCGCGTGAAATTTGGCTCACCTTAAATGCTTCTATGCTGCCCGCGTCGTTTGGAAGGCAGCTAGCCAACATCATATCGCCCTTGCTTAAACCTGTCGATCATAAATTGCAATTTTTTCAATCGACCTCGCAATTTGCGTCAACGCAATTAAAAGCTGAATGTATTTTCATGAAGCAATTTAAATGTTTATGGATATAAAAGTTCAACCACGGCCAATAATTTTTTGCCGAAACATTAAATCTGAATATCAATTGAGGAAGAATTTATATAATTAGTTGATTGCATTGCACGTCGTAGCTGGCGTTCACATTTCTTAAGTAAATCTTGGTATATAAGAAAATTTAATTTCTGATAACATTAGAACATGCAAGTTTTCCTATTAAATTTTTAATGTATTCTAGGAACTCTGGAGAATTAGACTTCTGGAACTCTGGAGATTTAGGATTCTGGAACTCTGAAAATGTGGAACTTTAGAACTTTGGGATTGTGATGTGCTGAGCCAGAAAGCTCTCATATAGTATAATTTGATCTAAACTCAAAATATTTGTTACCTGCTCGAATGAAGCCCTTCGCCAAAGCTTGGGCCATTTTTCCGCCACCAAGGAATCCAATTTTCAGCATTTTTGTGTCAATATTCAACGCGATCCTCTTTCTCTTCTCTTCACCGTCCGCAAGAAGCTGATCGCTCACTGCACAAAAAACAACTTGCATTAACTTTCCATTTTTAACAAAATACATCCACAATTTAATCTCGAGTTACAAACTAAATTTAGAGTGTTATTAATACTCGTATTTGTTCGATAACAACGCTCATCTTACACAATTCTTACCGCACGTATTTTATAATGCTTCGGCAACTATGATAAACGTGAGAACAAAGCAGGAACGAAAAAATGCTGCACGAAACGGGTACTGTTCGATCACGACATTTACAAGTAATTCTGAACGTTTATAATTCTGATTCTTCTGTTCATCTCTCTCGACGAAGAAACGATTTCGATAGTTTTTTTCATACAATCGCATACAAGATAAGGTCCTTATGTATATGTGTGTGCTCATTACGCATTCACTGAGAACGCTGGTACTTAACCATCTCCACGATTTTGCGGTTTGACCAATGAATTATTGAACATTTCTGTCAATTCGCGGAAGAAATATGAAAAGGTATGATTCATTGTGTCACGGCTCGTAATGGCAGAAACGTGTAAATTGCAAAAAGCAAAATCGCATGTTTTTCGGTAAACGATTTTAATGCTCATTATACAAGATGAATCGACAGAAACTTGTGCGCGATAATGTTTATAGACTGACTTCCCGCAAGAATATTTAAATAAAATTTATGTTATTGAAAGGAGTTTGTTAGATAGAAACATTCTTCAGAGCTTCAATTTTTGAATACGGGGGTTGATCGGTAATATAAATATCATCGAAAATATTTAAATTAAATGTATAAAATTTACAATATTATCAGTGTATTACAATATTAATCAGTGGTTAAATATCATTGAGTTGACGTGCTTAAGTTGCTTTCCTCATTTATTGATTACTTAGCAATTACTTGACATAAATTAATCTTGATCACTGATCTTACTTGGTTTATCTTTAATCACTGATCAGATCACAATCTTAAAGCTTCTAAATTTCAAATCTTCCACTTCCAAAATTTCCAAACTGTAATCTCGAATTTTCTAACCCAATGGGAATTTTCTGATTTCAAAATCTCTAAGTCCCTAAATCCCTAAATTCGCAAACTGTGTTTCCAGACTTCTTACTTCATCATGTAATAAATCTTCAAAAAATTTGTAACACCCGGACCCTTTGAAGACTTATTCGGGCAGTGTGTCTGTCAGAAAAATTCTTCAGTGCACGGCTTTCTGATCGAGATAGAAAATCTGTAAAATGTAATAATGTGCGATTACTCAATGTACTTTGATCGGATAAAAAATGAATAAGTCCACAAATAAAAATCCATGCTAATAAACGATAATAAGCATCGGAATTCAGATGAATAGAATTAAAGAGGCTTTCGCGAAAAATGTTGTTTAATGACGCAGTAATCCGTTGCTATAATTGTAGAAGTAAATATCAACGACGAAACATAGCATATAACGTAGTATAATATTTCGATCATCAAACAATATAATACCTTTGTAGACAAATAATAAAAGAGATACGAACAAGTAATCCCGAAACTAATTTGAGCAATTTAATAATAGTCTTATTTGACGATGGCAAATTTACATTGCGTTGATAAGGGTTTTAAATTGTGTGCTTTATGGCGCCACAGTAATGTTTTGATTCTCAAACCGAGTTGGATGGCATTTAGTGGCAATTTCATGAATGTATAAGACGCATATAACGAGCTCCACTTATCAAAGTACATATATGCTTTATTCAACAAGTGAGGTAATAGGAGATAGTGCTCGAATTTTAACAACAACAAAACACAGATCGCCTGATCGCGTAAATATTCATTATTCTATGAAAATTTGGTAGAATTTATGAATCAGTTATTACTTTTTACATATTTTACATATCTTGCAGTACATATTGCATAAAATATACATTATTAGAATTTTTTAATTTTGAAATTATTACAAGGAATTAATTTTTTACATTGATCATAATTAATCTTAATTTTGGGTAATGCTGTGCACGGAAATATGGGTAAATAGTAAATTAGTTTTGTAGGATTTTTACATTTATATTTATTATTCTGTAAAAGTATAAATACATATATTTTGATGTCAGAGTGAACGAGGTTCTAAATTATGTTCATTCTAAAATACCTCGCTGTATAAATAGAATCATAACGTGATCTATTAGTATGTAATGTTCATCAAACTCTAAGGGGTAATTTCTCCTCGTTAAGATAGTTAAAAAAAATTGCAAAATCAAGCACTAATTCTGATCATGGGACTGAAATAGCATTTAAAACAAAGTCAAAAAACATGTTCGCTACGAATTGACCATGAAACAAATAATATTAACCAATTATATATTGAAGCGCGCTGCACTTAAATTAAATCTTACAAATCGCGCGAAATTTGAATTCGCGAACTAAATCGACCGAAGTTGGAACATGTCGAATCTAGTCGCGTAGAACGAAACCGCGTGAAATTGAAACACGCCGAATTAGATTGCGTGGAATTGAATCGCATCGATTTGAATGGCGTGGAATACGCGATTCAATTCGCTGTACCGAACATTCGAGCGCTCGTTTTAAACTTCACAAACATTTGTCGATCATTCACGCAACACGCACGAGAAAAAATGATCTCACTCGTTTAATCTAAACGCAGCTTTATCAGCTTAAAATTTATATCTCGATTCAGTACTTCCGTTTATAAATTCGATCAAGAATTAATCTCCATTCTTAACTCCGTCATATCTCAATTCTTAAATATTTCCACGCCGTAGTTAAATGAATGTCAGCGAACTTGACGATTATACGGCATAAATAGTATCACGTGCGAAAAGTCTTAGGCAATTGATTAAACGGACTCACGTTTCGGTATGTTATCAAAAGATCATTTGATAGTATAACGATTTGAATTCAATGGAAACAATATTTGTCTTTCGATTACTCACCATTTCGTGCGTTCAAACGTCGACGAACTCGTCGTCCTAATCGTAGAAATTCCATTGTCTTCAATCCTGTAGTCATTTTTTTAATATTTCCTCTTCACTTTTTTAAATGGGTTCGAAGCGTAATTTGAGTCAAATACAATGCGTCGTTGAGAATTAATCCTGGATGTTGTACTGCTGAAAGTAAAAAATAAAAATGATCTGAAAATCAAACTGTCTCGTATTTGGAATTTTCATGAAATATAAATTCTGGCCATTGACAATGTACACTTAACCCCCATACAAACTATCCATTTTTTAATTAGCAAGAAATGAAAAAGAAATGTACGAAAAAAATTGCTAAAAAAGAACAATTATTTTATCTGTAATCATATTTCGATTTTGTATCATTTTTCTCAAAAATCAATTTATACGTGTTAGCGAAATTGAAGCTACGTTGTACGTGTTAATAATACCTCTACCGTATACGCAAATACACTTACTATCACGTATGTTGAAAAAATGATATAAGATTTACATGTCACTGGCAAGATATTTAAATTTACATATAACTTTCTTGCTTAGAATATTTACCTAATTTACATACTGCATAAGATGATTCTGATCTGATGCAACGATATCTCACGGCAATCGCAACTGTTCCTCCTCGAATTGTGTACAGTGTTTTGATACACCCTGCTTTTCGGACTGCCCTTATATACCAACGTGAGTTATCATGTGTAGCTAAAATGCGACTGACAGTTCCTGCTCATCAGACACGGAAAACTACCTATTCGGTTACGGCCAATCACAATCCAAACATAATTGTGTCACCCCTTATCTGATACAGTGTCTTTCCAAGTCTAACGAATAGGACCTGAAATTATCTACAGTCAGGTACAGCGTTGTATCTGCGCCGAAATCTGCGGCAGATGTTGCACTCGTAATATTAGATTCTTGACTGATTTCACTAAAATAAATCAGTAAAATACTATGTACCATTTAGCAAACTCAGACAATAATAAAATATGACTCATAAACCCATTTCATTGTCCAGGTACAAAACATTATCATATAAATCGACAAAATATAAATTATTAATGAGAAATAATGTTCATTTGATTCGTATTTTGTATTTAGTATCGACGAAACGAATGTAGCCCGCGATTAAAATGTTGCGAAATTATCTGTAAAAATATTCTGACAATAGTCTGTAGATGTCAGTAGTGATGCTGTTATGCTTCATAATCAGTCGCGACTGCACTGCTTTCTTGTCCTTTTATGAAATTGAATTGTTTGTATCAGTGATAAGCAAATAAAGTGCCCATCGAAAAGCTTAGTGGAATGACACTGAATGAACAGCAAAATGTTTATCTAGGGAGAATTTACTGAGACATTGAAAAGATTCGAACTTTCAAATTTCTGAATTTTGTAATTTTTTAACTTTCGGATTACGGAAAGTGGTACACTACTTTTGGTGACACCACAATAATATTAGCGATCGTTGTAAATTTCATTGATTAATGTATTCGAAAAGATTCTAATATGTTACAAATATATTATGACAGCATTTTACGATGTTCTCAATTTTGAAAACCACTTGTCCATGTTACTACGCGTACTTGTGTTCAGTGAAACTTTATAATCTGTCATCAATAACCAATAAAACAAAAATCCATTTTATTGCATCACTGATTTTCTGAACTCTAAACTTTAAAAAAGAAAGTAGTATGTATCTGATTCTAAAACTACGCAATTCTGTAAACACCTTTTATTGCTTTTTTTCGTTCACTGCTAATGATTCCTGATAGATATTTTTTCGATGGTAATATCGATGAGGTGTGTATGTTGATCTTCCGTAATGCATTTGATAATAATTTCATAGATAGTGCATGTAATCTTACAACAGTTTGATGCAGTTCAAAACGAAATATGTATAATGTAATAACTTATACTACGTCGTAACGTTTATAGCATAAAAACAATTTAATGATTTTACGTAACGTAAATAACAAATTACTAGTGGTAGTAATCTATATTTATCGCAAATCTTATACAAGAGAAAAATTATGAAATTCATACGTAATCGGATTTATCCATATATTAATATTTCTCGTTCAGTGTACTTTCACATCAAGTAGGTTCATGATAACGGTGAATCGAAAGTGTAATTAGAAAGTTATCTTGCATAAAATTCATTTCAGTTGCAAAGTATAGAAGTTGTTCTTCATAGTTGCTACAATTCTGTGTATATTATACTTAAAAATGTTATAAGTACTCATAATTATATACTGTGCATAAAATTCCGTAAAATTTGTGGGCGTTAAACTTGTCGTGAGTTGTCAAAACTTAAAAAGCGCGAATTCGAAATTTCGGTTTTTTACGCAGGCCCTGACAATGATAATTATTTAAATTTTACATACGATCTTTCAGCTAAAGAAGTAAGTGGAGATAAAAATTTAAAATATGCTTAAAAATTGTATTATATATAGCCATTAAAATATGTAGAACTTGAAAGTGTGAAAGGTCGTTCAATAGCGAATCTCGAGTTCCGATCCTGGACAGTTGGACAATTCAGTCAGTGACGGGCGTTCGACGAGTCCGCATGGTTGTGTTCATACAAATATTCATGCAAGTACATATGATCTTAAGAAGTCGAAGTTCAGAACAAAAAGTATTTTTATCTAATCGTCAATTGTACCTGAAACCAGTAAATAATCCTTTGTAATCAGTTTGTTAATCGAATCGATTTTGTGTTAGCGTTGCGCAATTAACGTTAAATACATGGAAAAATGATGTTAATAAAATGTTTCGTAAAATCTAAATACAATAAACCGTGATATAAGTGTCATTTCAATTCTGTTTTCTTTATGTAACGTTCGCCGGACAATTGATCGTTTTGTGATCAGAGACTGCACTTAGTTGTCAAAAAATGCCTACTCAGTTTAGTAAGTTCATCGACACATCCTGTAAGGAATTTTTACATCCATGGGAAGACTCGTGCATCAATGCAACAACCGGTCTTGGCTTGCATACCCTGCAAGAAAGCGTCAAGATATATTGCACAGTTTACATAGTACGTTTGTTATGCAGATAATTCGTCCAATTTATTGCAATGAAAATGTACATTTTAGTACATTTATTGTTTAGTACATTAATTTACAGTACTTTTTTTCTTTATATAATTTTTGTATCGATTTATAATACGCATTAATAAATATATTTACATTGTAAACACTGACATTTATGTCTGTACATATTGGTATAGTATTAATCAGCTGATCTGATAAGTTTGAAGCCTATTTTTTTTTTTAAGAAAAATTAGTGTTCAGGTGGTAAATCAATATTTAAGGTATTAATATTAAATCAGTATTTTAATTTTATAGTAATACTGAGAATTTAATTCAGTCATTAAAATCAACCACTTACTGTTTTTGCATATTTTAATTTTTTTCAGCTTGCATTTCTAATGAAAGGAAAAAAACCATCTAAAGAAGACATTAAAAAAACGATATTGGGTATATTACAATCAACAGCTTTCCTTGCATGGAATTCTCTTTCATATTCTATGTTTATTTGTACTATAAGGTTTGCAACATTATTTTTAACAGCGCAATAAGTGAATAAAATGTATTTTTTGTTGAATAGTTATTATATTTTTATATAAAATATTATCAATTAAAGCTTGTTTTTAAATAAGTGACAAATGCAACTATTATTAATAAAATTAATATTACATAATTTGATTATGATGTTTATCACGATGAATTACATTTCTTAAAGTTGTGTATTCCAGACATTTACTTGGAGGCTTTACAATTTGGAGCGTATCATTTCTTCCATCCTTCTTATCTAGTTTGACAGCTATTTTAATTGAAAGACCACCTCGACGTACTTTACTAAGTCTATATGTAGCTAATGTAGTAAGTGATTTAGTTTTAGTATTAATATCTTGATTCCATCATAGTATTTATGAAATGTTATATAATATATTAATTACAATGATAACTTTTATGAATGTCTTTTCATGTCTAACAAATTCATACATTATTTATTAGGCAACAGAATCAATATTTTTAATGGGATTGGCAAGGAATTATTATTCCTCCATTCCAAATGGTGGAACATATATTTTTGCAACAAGCATAGCATTGTTACTTTATTTCTTCCGCTCTAAAACAAATAAACAGGATTCTATATATGGAATACTTAGGTACATATTGCTGTCCATGTAATTTATGGATGTTTATATAAAATTACTTTAAATTGATTCAAATTTTGTACTAGAATTCTTGTTGGACGATACGAAGATCCTGATTATATTAAACAGAGTGACTCACAGTCCAAATTGCAAACATCTTCTGACAGTGAAAGTTCAACAAAAGTAAATCATATAAGTAAAAAGTGTAATAAAAAGAATTTAAATATTTTCATGAAATCACTTGAAGCGTATCAGAAAATTATTGATCAGTTAAAACAAAGAAGTAAACATAGTCCATGTCCACATCCTCATAGTTGTACTCATTATGTTTTAAAAGTACGTATATCAATTAGTAAATATTAAATACTTAGATACAGATGCAAATCAATTTATATATTATTTTTATTTACAGGGTGGCATCAAAGTTCTTGGCTATGCTCTGAGTGCTCAACTAGTAGTTAAGTTGTTTTTCCAAATGAAAAACTTATTTAAAAAACCTCAATTGTTAAAGTCTGCAATTTTTAAAAAAAGTAATCTAAATTTGGCTGTGTTTTTAGGAAGTTTTACAGGACTTTATAGGGTACTATTCTATTTCTACTTATAAGTTATTGTATTCTTTCACAGTATAATAATTATTTTTACTATATTTTAGCTAGTGTCCTGTTTATTAAGGAGATCTTTTAATAAAGATTCTAGTTATTATGCAATTCCTGCTGGACTGATAGCTGGTTTAACATTTATGGCTTACAGTAGCAACACAATAGCTTTATATTTTATGTGGAAAGCGTTACAGGTATCTTATAAGTTATTTAATACCATTTTTACCACCTATAAGGATATTAACATATTTTTTTACTTCAGTTATTATGGAATGATCTCACAGAAAAAAAAATTGTACCTGAAGTAAAATGGTTCGCAATCTTTTTCTATAGCTTTAGTACAGCAGTGCTCTTTCATGCAGCTGTCTTAGAACCACACAATTTACGAACATCGTATTGGAAGTTTTTATATAATATATCTGGCGGAAGGTAATAAAAATTGTAGTCACAATAATTTTAATATTTCGAACACCATTTGTTAAAAATGTTTCTTATATAATTTTAGAATAGCAGTAATGTCGCGAATACCATTAGATCAGTTTGGTTTGGAATCGTCTCGACGTCTTGCAGAGGTGCTTAGGAAAACTAATACTACTGATAAGCATACTTTTAAGTTTTAATTTAATGGTATAAATAAGGAAAAAGGTGTACTGCATTTTATTTTGACGGGTACATATTTTGTTGAATTGCATCCCTATATACTAAAAAAAGTAACCAAAGAAATCAGCAATAACTCCACCAACTTGTATACTATTATTTTTGTACCAGTTATATAGGATGTTTTATTTTAATCTTTTCATATTATTGTTTTAAAATATCCATTCAATACTACTATTAGATTCCAAAATAATACAATGAAAAAGTTAAAATTGAACATTTTATATACGATTTATAAGTTACATTTTACTCGAATCACGTTAGTGGAGAATGTCTATTTTGTGATGAAGGTTTGTTAGGGTTCTTAGGTTTGATATTTTGTGATAAATAAAATTTTTTATTGTTCAGTTCATGTACATTGTGAATATATATTGTTTGAGTTAATTTATATTTTGTTGTACATGTATAATGTTATATGCGTTTTTTGAAATATTAATATACATTTAATGTTAATTCAACTACCGACAAATTTATAGAAATAAATTTTACAATAAATAAACAAAAAAATTTATGCTAACGAATCTGATAATTATACAATTTATTTAGTAAATTACAAAAATATATTGCTAATAATTTTCTATTTTTATACAATTCAGAAACTTGCCAATTATAAATAAAACATTTGAGACATAATAATACAGTGGTATATTATTTTTGCTTTTTTGCAGCCTCCAGTGCTCTATTAACTATAATATCTGCATTCCTCTGTTCATGTTTCCGTTTCATACGTTTCTTTTTCCTCAAAACATTATCCCAATCAATTTCACTTTGCATTCCTAAGTCTTTTTGATCAATAAATCCTGGAATAATTTCAGATCCTAAAACGGAGGCATTATGTTTTTGTGTTACAGTCTTTAATGGCTCAAAAACTTCCAAGGTATCACGCTGCCAGGGAAGTATTCCAACTGGGCAGTCAGTCCAATTACAATTTGCTGAAAACAATTTTGTATTTTTATGTAACTTTTATTTTCAACTCACAGTGGTAAAAAAAACAAGTAATATACTTACTAAGTGCAATTTTCCAGTATGAATTTCGAACCTTTTTGTCCACTAAGAAATCAATTGTTTCATTTTCAGACTTATTTTCCTCCTTACTCTTATTTAATTTTCGTTTACTATATTGAATATCTTCAACAGTGAAAGTTTTATCATTTTCATTTAGACTTTCACCAGCTATTTTTCCTATTGTATAAATATTGACTAAATTTATTAACAGTTCTTTACTTTTTTTGTCTATTTTCGGACTTAATAATTCCAACATTGGTGAGATGAATTTAGTAGAAAATTCATTTGCGTTTAAAATAAGTTTTGTAACAAAATTTATGTCAGTTAAACATGGTAGTATTACATCTGACAAATTAAACCATAAAACATCTCTTAAATGCGGATAAATACGATGCGTTTCATATTTGACTTTAAGTTGGAAAGCAATTGGTGTTAATTTCTTCTGCGTCTTTTCTAACTTATATTCTAAATCTCGAGATATGCACTGAGCATAATCCAGTTTTAAGAAACAATAAGATATAGAACTTATCCATAAAGAGGCCAATAATCTTTTACATTTAGGTATTTGATCATTATTCATTAATTTGAGTAATTCTAACAGTAATTCTTCCATTAGGTTCTTTTCGTGTAATAAAAATATAATATCTTTCCAAAATTTGATCATGTCTAATGGCAAAATATTATCTTCTAGTTCATTTCTAGCATTTCTTTTATGAGTGAAAATTAGTAAAGTATCCTGGCTCGGTAAAAAAGCCTCTGTATTAAAAAGTGCATTACAAACTATATCCTTTTTATTAGGAATAGATTTCCTATTGAGGAATCTAGATATTTCCGATAGAAGAACGATTCTTGCAGTTTCTAACGTGTACTTTTTATCCTTTTTTAAGTTGTCATTAATAGCATTCATGTAGTTATCATTTTCCATGTCTTTGTTATTTTCTTCTAATACGGAAATAGCGTATGAACGTAAATCTTGTAGCGTTTCCCTATGAGTAGATTCGATCAATAAATACAAACTGATTATAGTTAAATTGAAATGATGTAAATTTGTACATACTTTAATTGAAGATCTGGTATTTTAGATACTAGGCGATGTCCAGCATGAATATATAAACTAACAGCAGTCCAAAGTTCAATTAAATCATCAAAATCCTGAACCTCTTCTTTTTCTTGAGCTTCTTTTATACAGTCTTCACTGTCAAGACATATTTGCATTTGTTTGATTTCAGATACCCAATATTCTTCCTTTAAATACAATATTTAAAAATATATATTTAGCTGAACATTATTATTTATATATAGTGTGATTTCTTTGCCAAACATACTACTTAACCACCCTTTCTGTTCTGCTATAAGAATATCTTTTACATACAATACAATACAATGTAATAGCTTCAGCTGACACAAAATAATGTCAGCCTACTATAGAGTATTAAAGAGCAGTCAAATAGTGTGTTTGATAGTCATTCCTTTGGAATTTACTAAGGAAAGAATCATTGTGTACACAGAAACATACATGTATCCAAGCTAACAATATATTGGCAGCTATTCTCAATACACCAATGGATGGTAACTCATAACCATGAGCAGTATCGTGCCTTAAATTCACTATCCATTCTGGAATATTAAGCTGCTTCGCAATCTGAAACAAGGATGTTTGCTTCGTATGTCCTATGTTAGATATATGATTTAAAATTCTCATTATAGTGGTTGAATACATCAGACACAAATCATTTTCGTAATTAATTGATAACTCCCCACTGTTAATTTTGGGAGTCCACTCTCGATCTCTAAGACAGACTTGCATAATTGAAAGGGTACAGTCAACTCCTACTGGTAACTTTGGTATCCTAAAACGTCCTGGATTAATATTATTTATTTTACAATATTTTCTTAAATATAAATTTTTGTAATTACCTTGCTTTCCATGTAAGTAACATATTATATCCCTTGATTTGTTCATCTGCATCGTTGGAAAAAATTTGTTTGTATACTTGATACCATTCTGTACTATAAAATAAAAATAATTTTTAATTACATATTTTAGTATATAAAAAATCATTTTTAATTTGAGTACTTACAGCGAAAACCATGGTACTTGTTTTATACCCTCCTGTTTTACGAAGAGCGCCATACTTAACCACGTGCAATATAGGTATACAAACTTTACGTTTCTATCATTAACCTATGCGAATATGTGCCGAATGTGTAGACGCTTTAATATGTGTATGTACATTTATTAGGCTCTATCCTAATTGAAGTATGAACTATAGGTTGGGAAATGAGAATTCGCGCGAGAAAGACAAAAAATATTCAAAAAACCTATCTCAGTTTTACTACGGATGTGAATGGCGTGCTTATACCCCCTCCACACGCAACTTTACTACAGTATACCATAAATAGAAAGAAGAATGGGAAAAATCATATTTTGGCGCGTTTAAAATAAAGTATAATAACAGTTATTATTTATTAAAAAATTAAACAAGAAGAAATATTTTCTTTATTTATATAAATTTATTTGTATAAAGGTTATAAAACTTAAAAATATATTCAACACACGTTAAATGCTGCTCTCTGTTTATAAAACTGTTAAACGTACTTTTGGACGGATTGCTCGAGCGAGCTTTGTAAAAATTAGATTTATAAATAATTTAACATACAGCCTTCTACACTGTACTCGAATAAAACGATTTATAATTGATATTATAAATAGTTCGGTATTAATGTAAACTTGATACTATTTACAGTATCGTTGCCTCTGACAAACGAACGCTTTAATACGCTCGCAAACTAAAACGAGTTATTTTATAATATACACTTTGTTTCTTATAAAGCAGACTTATTTATGGACGGTATTTGAATGTTATACGCAGTAACGACACGATTTGAAAATCTGCGACATGGCCTTAGTACTTTTAATTAATATTACATTTCCTTACGACAATAAAATTTGATTAAACTAATGAGAGGCACTTAAAATGGATATTATACAATACTTCAGCAGATCAATGTAGAGACGTCGCATATTTTCAAAGTATCAATGATATAACCTTACTTAGATTAATTTAAAATAATATGTTAAATTCCTATGATTAATTCCTGCATTCGAAAATACCTTGTTATAACTACTAAAGACACTGTAAGTAGAAAACCAGTAGGCGTAGACAACAATGTGGCAGCATTATAAATTGGACAATATGGACATTGAGAGCTACCACAAACCTCACAGATATTTAATGTATACGTTGGTAGAGCATCAAATATAGTTTCATTGAAACGTTCTGAAAGAATAAATTACACACAATGAATTATAAATGCTTCCAATTTTATGCACAATGTTCATTGATACAGAATTATAAGTGTATACCTGGTGCATAATAATCGTAAACTCTTATGGCATGGTATCGTGACATGTTTGCAACTGGGAACCATCTCTCTATGGTGAAATTTACGCAGGTCTCTTCTTGGTCAAGATAATCGAAGTAGAACAAAACCTTTCTTTCCTGGAATCGAGCTCTTTGAAGATTTCGTACTTGTTTTGATAAAATGTATCTATCTAAGGTTTGCTGCTGAATTATGTAACCAGTTGGTATGGCTACATCTAGTACTGCCATTCCAGAACGCGCCGATTCATTTGTGTTTGTCCATCTACAAAAGAAATTTATAAAATTAGTAACTATACAAACTTTCCTTAACATAAATATATTTACCTCTGACAACTGAGATATGAAATGTGAGATTGATTTCTGCCATGGAAATTTGCTCTAGTAACCAAGTCGAATGCTCTGACTGGTGGTTGAGTTTGGAATTTAGCAATATCTACATTATATTGTACTGACATTTGTAAAATTGCATATCCAGCACCTTTAGCTTGTACTTTGACTGTTCCCCAAGCTTCTGGTATCTATAATATTAAAATAAAAATGAGTTACAAGTAACATACCAATATTTTTATTTCAAATAAGAACATACCTCAATAGTTTGAAGCCTTGCTAGATTATTATCATTAACAAACAACGTTTTAGTTTGTCCTGGAAGAGATGTAGCTTCCACGGTAACTGTTAAGGAACTAACATCTCTAATTCTGGATCTAACTGTGTAATCCATTAAAGCTTTCATTGCCCATGCAGTGTCTTGTGTAGAAGCCCAGCCACCATCTGTTAATCGTTGAGCATTCAACCACTTTACTATAGGTTCAATCATTATTTCTTGTCGTGCAACGTGCACCAAAAGAGCATATGCAGTAGTCTCAATATTTTCAGAGTCGTATTTATATGGTAAACGTGGAAGAAGGAATGGCTTTTGATTTTCTAGCTTATAAGGAGGGAGAGGTACTGGCTCTCTTCCCCAATAAGTTAAACCTCCTTCTCTACGAGCATGGCTGGACAAAATATTGAAAGCTTGTCCCGCAGTCGAAGCTTTTGCCAATAATAGAGCATATGCCACTATTGCTATTTCATATGGTTTTCCACGATTCTCTAACAGTTTCAAGTTTCTTTCTAACCATTTGACTGCATTTGCAGCACTTACTGCAACTTGAGTTCCTAATCCTTCAGGCAGATCTTTTACGCTTTGCAGCGTAATAAGAACATGAGCAGTGAGACTGATATTTCTATGTGTTATTTCATCATAATCATAGTTTAAACTACTATTCATTTTACGGTCTGGTAGCCATCTAACTTCATAAAATGATCCATCAGGTGTTTGATGTTTTAGTATCCAAGATATAGCATTAGCTATTACTTCTGGATCTATGTAAAGATAATTTTCCCACTCATAGAAACGTGCTTCCTGCAAAACACGTGCACAGAATGCTGTTAACCAAACGCTTGGCTCAGACTGATTCCAATCACTGCGGAATAAACTAAACGATCCATCAGGATTCATGAATGAGAGTTGTCTCTGATAACCAATGTTCATGTAATAAAAACTTTCCTTCTCTTGTGTTCTGTTACGTTGATTAATTAAACGCATGTATAACGTAGTGTACAAATTAGCAGCAAAACTGAACATATTTTGTTCAGCACAGTCCATAGGAAGATCCATAAGACTCGTAGCATTAACAGGCATGGTTGGGAAAATTGGTCCAACAACATCTCCAACCAAGCTTATAACTGCCTTGTTAGAACCAAATACATAATAACGATTTTCGTCATAAGGTATAATCGGAGTTTCTGTTATATTAACGTGCATATATTGGAACACATAGGCTCGATTACTAAGATCGAGTAGAATAGACTGATGTCGATGCTGAGGAAGACCATCAGCTTCTACATGCAAAGTTCGAGTAACCGAATCTCTTCCAATTACAGTTGTAGCATAGATATGTACTTTTATATCTCCAAGTCTTACAGGTACAATGGGTAAATAGACGATCGCTGCATCCTGCGCAGGAATCCAAATGAAAAACTGATGTTCACCAAAAGATGTACGAGGTTTGTATGATTGTACAATACCATTCTCTTCGACGTGAACAAATTTATAATCTTTTGAATCAGTTAAAACTACTATAGCCTCTATATTATAACGCAAATAATTGAAAACAGAAACACGAACACCAATCTGTTCTCCCTGCCTACTATGAGTCGGCATCTCTACATTTATGTAAAATGGTAAGACTCCTAGGTATTCGATTGCTTTTGGTAGCATACCGAAACCGTTACTTGGAGACATACTAAATGCTGTGACCATCCACTGAACTGGTCTTCGTGGCACATCTATGTTAAAAATGTATCTACCATGAGGACCAATATTAATGTCCTTCCACAACCAAACATTTTCATATAATCTTTGTACTCTGTTAAATCGCCATTTTCTAAACATGGCTATATCTGTAAGATTTCGGTATTCACAGTTTGCTTCGTCGGTGCCGTCTTCGCAATCAAATATTCCATCACATTTTTTATCCAATCTGTAACATTTCCCAGTCAAGCATTCTCCAAGTCCCAAAGATGCATTACAATTATCAGGTCTTCGATAAACAAAAGCATCTGTGAAAACTACTAATCCAATATACTCAAATGTTCTGTTAACATCTATACCAAATGTTGAAGATGGGAAATAAACAAGCTCATCTGGATCACCATCATGATACAGCCAAGTATGAGATTGAGTGCCATTTGTTTCTTCATCAAAATGTGCCATTTTTGATATGACATTGGCATATGTTAATTCGTTTCCAGCTTGCATTGTGTAGAAAGCTCTATCTATAGCTGATAAAGCAACATAAGCTCCTGGTTCTCCATAAATAGCTACTTCAACGTTTTCACCAGTTCTAGCTTTTTTATTGTTAATATGCACCGTAAAATTGTTTCGTGAAATACCATTTACAGAGAAAGTTAGAGAATCTGCAATAACATTACTGTACTGTCCAATGTGATACACAACTATTGTTGCAACTGGAGCCATTTCTACACTAAGAGGGACAGCAATTGTTTTTATGTTATGTTGCATAGTATCTTGTCCCGTTAAAAGTATGATACCTTTTGCCATGATAATATAGTTAAATGTATCAATGTAAATATTAGTTTGTACATGGAATATCATGTATTCTCCAACTTTAGGTTTCTCTGTAGAGGTTGAAATTTTTATTTGCTGTTGGTTTGGAGATTCGTGAGCCAATAATAATAATTCAGTCTGTGTTCTGAATCCTTCTCCATCAGTGAGGTAAGCAAAAACCCTCATGGAAAAAATATCATTAAGGATTTGCTGAGCATGATCGGAATTGTGTTCGAGTCCAAGTTGTTTCCTTAAATCCATTCTTGTAGACCAAATACCTGCATTATCCGGTGTAGGTTTTAGATATTGAGTTTCTATGGTTCTGCGACCACCTGTCCTTGTTTCAATCTCCGCACGAATTTCCATCACAGCTCCTTTTAGTTGTGATGGTCTTAATACAGAATTGTCATGGAATGATGCTACTAAATTTAAAGAAAATGGCATTGCTGGCTTGAAAACTTGTGGTGTTCCACCTAAGAATCGTATTTTTGTAGTAGAATTAAAAATTCGAGCAGTAGAGTACCCTGTAACTACTTCTTCTAAAAATCTTTCCCCAACAGTCGCGGTAACGGTGATCTCTGCACCATTTGCAGCAGGTACAAATGTTAATAATTCTGCCATAGGATATCGAAAGTGATATGTTCCATTAAAAAATCTTAACACAGGTATTTGGTTTTCATAATTATATGGTACCTTTAACCACGAAGGATAATATTCATCAAAGTAAAAATATCTTTCAATAGATTCAGGAGCAACTTCTGGTGATCTTCTATCAAGCGATTTAAAAGTAGCTTTAAGAGTTAAGTTTCCTCTCACTGGTGCACCACTTGTGTAATTTGCTTGAACTGTACCATATATGTATGGATCATTATCAAAGAAAAATGCTGGCATTGTAACATTAACTTCAAATCGAGTCTGATAATATTCCTCCACTAAGAAAGTTTTCTCTTCTACTTGGCCTTGTGCTATCACTTGTATAATCCAATCTCCAAAAACAGGTTGATCAGATAGTTGATACGATAAAGATACTGTTCCCAAATTACTTTGTCTACTTAACCACCGTCTCATTATTCTTCTATATGGATCCAACATGTACACATCAATAGGATTATTAAATGCTTTTAGTTCTGTGTTTATAGGTATAGTTCTAAATCGCACAGTTTCCTTTTGCATATACACAGGCTTATCCAACTGAATAAATATACTCATAGATCTTTGAGAAAATATAAGTTTTGTTTCATTTAAAAATGCTTGACCACCAGTTAAACTGTTGTACGTTCCTTCTACTCTTAACTTATATTCTCCACCAACAGATGTAGGTGGCATCCTCATCATCAAAGTTTCTGGTATGCCTTCTTTTACTTCTTGATAATCCGAAGCAATTTCAACGCCATTCCTTTGAATAGATGCACGTATCATCATTGGCAGTGGACTATATAACACATTTACAGCTAATCGGTAGATTTGTCCAGGTCTAACCATACGAGAGGCCACCACAAAATATGTGCTATAAACATATAATAAAGAATGTTTAGAAATTTACAACTTTAACAAAATACAAGTTTAGCATTGCTATATTATATCAAATAAACTTTAAATTTTATATAATTACCTAGAAGAAGATTCAATTTAAAATGAACCATTATTTTATTCTACAATGTACATTGTTGTTTTTATTTGCACAATTATTATTTAGAAAACTTACGCCTCTTTTATTATAACATTATCGCCCGGATTCCCAGGATTTCGTGTTCCATATCCAGGTTGGTCCCTGTCGATGGAATCATATCGATTCCAAGGAACACGCGTTGATTCCGTCGACTCCTGCGAGAGCTGACTGTTTCCGCAAGCGAAGGTTAAAACCAAAATCCAAATCCACATTTTCTATAATACACAAGTAAATATGCATGACACTTTATGAAGACAAAAAATATCTGTTTCTCTGCAAAAATAGAACTACGATACACACTATCGTGTCATTAATCGCAAGTAAACTTAATGGTCAACGCCCAAAACTATAGAGTTTACACTCGAAACGCACACTTGTTGACTAATGTTTCGTTTTCGCTTACCTCGGTAGAATCACTTTTTTTTTAATCAAATGAACGCATCACAACCAATTCATGTATTATAAAAGTACTTAAAGGTGCGTACAATGAGTTTAGTATTTTTTACTATAAAACATTGTAAAAGAATTTTATGATTAGGAGTGGTCACTTGTACACACTCCACTGTATTTGGTTCGACACAGAAAGTGACTTATACACAGATTAAGGGGGCAGGAGGGAACACCTTACACATACGCGACATCTTTACAATAGTGAACGTTATGAAAATTAACGTTTAATTTTTGTCTCTTTTTTCGTAAGTGTTGCTTGATTATATTAAAAAGGTATTTATTTAAATTTATAAATTATTCTATCCATTTTACTGCAGTACAATTTTAAAGATATTTTCTGCTTAAACGAGAATAATTATTTAATTATATTTTATTGCAAAACTTTGTAGACAGAAAGTTGCAAAATATAAAGTTCTTCAAATACACATCCTTCATGCATTTATAGCGATTCATTTTCAGTATGAAATTTCTTTTATAAAATGTCAGATGTTCAAAATCCAAAAAACGGTAAAAATTTATTGAGCTACTTTATTCAACAATATTTTTACAATTTTTTTTATTTATAAATTTTTTATGAATTATATCTTTACGAACAATGTTACATAATTATTTTTTTCCAGAACAAATACTGCCAGCACATCCGATGTTGATACACTCCCTGTGCGTCGAAACGAATTCGCTTTCAACTAAAGTAGCAGGTTCTTCAAACACCGCTTGTTTAAATCCTTTGCGACGTGCCTTTTCGACATCAAATGATCTCTCTTCGATACTGACATCCGGAAGTTTTGGCGGATAATTTGGATGAACCACGTCGGCAGGAAATCCATCTCTCAAAGACAATTCTTTGCAGACAAGTATAAGACCGACCGTATTAATCGTTCGTGGAGGAGTATCCAATTCGCTTTCTTCAAAAATTTTATCAGGCATACAGAATTTCGCACTCGCTTCCGCGGCTCTTCTGTCATCTTCGTCCGAATATGGTACTTTGGTACATAAAAATTCGTTGAACGATCCGATGTTTTTAAAAAGTAGTTTCTTCTCTGCAATTGCAAATGGGGTAGTCGTATACGTTCCAAAGCATGTTAACCTAATGAAAACTTTAATAAAACCGGCTGGTTGATCTTCTTCGTCTATAAGACCGAACATGTTTTTTATTTCGTATGATTTAGGTAAATGATAGATGTCATTGCTCGCCATTGTTGTATGATCGCAAAGACAACCTGACAAAGGGATTGTTGTGTGTCCTAATGGATGTTTAATCACCTCTTCGGGACAAATAAGGATTTCTTTGATTTTGTACACGTCTAATAATATTGGTTTCTCTCGCAGTTTTTGTATCAGTACACTGGGGTTCCTAGTGAACATGTACATTTTTCCGCAGTTGAAAGTAATTTTACAAAATCCAGTCTCGTACGACTTCTCTTTTCCTCTGTCTGGTTTAGTCAATAAAAAACTACTTTGAAAGATTCGAAACACTGGTATGTCTATTATATTCAAATCGACACCCAATGAAGCAGCATCAATCTTGTCTAATTTCTCGGAATACATGTTGACAGAATCGATAAAAATCTCGAGGATGTACAATTTTTCGTCCTTATCAGATTCACATGCTTTGCGATTGTGGTCCATGTTAATTAGATGACTTTTATTTATTTTTATTGAAAATATTAAGAAGGAAGTTAAGTAATGGAATTGTTTGGGATTATTGAAAATTTTTGAAATAATGTTAGCCTAAATGATTGATCAGTTTTGTCAAAAACAATTGAATTTGTTTGTGATTTATTCCAATAATGAGCAACTGGTGTTATGGACTGGATTGTAAACCATAGACGTTTAATATAATCAATTTTACTACTAATGATTAATTTTATATACAGTTAAAATTTATTAATAAAATAATATATTTGCTTTCTATAAAAATACATTTTAATATAAACAGTATATTATATTTTCAGTATTTGTATTAACTTGTCATATACTCAAACATTGTTTTATAAATCATTCAGTCCTCTATACAGATTATGTCTCTTCCTTTTGTTCTTAAAATACATTATCATAATTTCATTATGCATTAATTATTTTAAATAAGTGTAGTATAATTTCCCTAACAGTACAGATTAAGTAAGGCAGTGATAAGCTAAATTTTATTATACTTATTTCTAATTATATTTTATATATTAAAATTATAGATTCCAACTAAAAAACAAAACATGCTCATATGACGAGATAAAGTAGTAAATATAAAAAGTATGAATAATAAAATGACTTTTATTTTTGTACAAATATTAATTAACGTGATTGCTTTAAGTTCTTTTCAACTCTAAAGCAATTATTTGTATCTTTTATTTTGACTGCACGACGAACCCGTATACTTACTATAAAAAACTGTTTAAAATATATGACTATCTCTTTCCCTATTTGATCGTGATGGGGTAGAACAAAATATATTTTTGATGTTTTCTTTCCAATCAGACAAACGAAATTCGTCATCAGTTGATAAAATTCGGTCACCCCAAGACGCTTTTTGTTTTACTGGTGTACTGTTACAATTATCGGTAACATTTGTTATACTATTCATACTATAAGTTTGATAACCAGTATCCTGTGCAGAGTTTTGTTCCCAGATACCTAATGCTGCATTCGTTTGTTGAGAAATGCAACTTTCATTCGTACTTATTTTATACGACTCGGTTAAACATTTAAACGCGCGAGTAGCATCACAATGCTTAGAGTCAAGTTTTGAATTTTCTATCTCAAGATTATATTCGTGTTGAGTCGAGTCTCTCATTACAACGTTTGTTTCTGTACAAACATCAGTTTGAGCATTCATATAACTACAGTCTAAGTTCATAAGATTATCCGCTTTGTTTTCTATCACTTCCTTGTCGACCTTATTAAGTGCCCCATCTAAAAATATAATAAAAACAACGATTATACACATAACAATTTTTAATATTTTTAATATATATATTAGTATTGAACAACGATTACCTAAAGAATGATTGTTTGGATACTCCTTATGTTGCACAGATTCGTCTATGCTCATATCTGTGGTAAAATCTAGTCGAGCAACTGAACGAGATCGCGATCTTATACTTTCACGAGATATGTTATGTACTGTGCTGTGTATTGGAGATATATTGGGAGATGATAAACTTGGAGATACAATTTGAGATGTATTGTGACAATAATCCATGTTTTGTGATTGCTATGGAAGAAAAACCTTGTTATATTTTTTAAACTTTATGCATTTTAAATTATGAAAATTAATAAAAAGAGCTATGTACCCTCAATGGAGCACCATTCACCAACATTCCACTTTGTGGAGGACTGGAAGGTAAAATCAAAGATTTTACTGGTGATAAATAAACTGAAGATTCTTCTTTATCATCTAAACAGTCTTCTTGGTTACAGAATAATTTTCTTCTTAAAGAATTATTACTAGAATTGGCATCATCACTTTCGACATTTTGATCCTGCAAATAAAGACATTGAATTTTAATAACAAATTTGTACATATATAATTTACTTTAAATATTTATATTTATTTACTTGAGTAAATTTAAAGTAAGGTTTTAAAATCTCAGCGATATGTGGTGGAAGTTCAGGTGGAAATGTTAATACTGTTTGACACCAACCTAAAAAAATTAATATTAAAACACTGATAGTATATCTTTTATCTTGAAATAAAATAAATACCATCTTTTTTAGAGCTAGGTGATTCTGTATTTAAATCATCTGGGGATGATTCCACAGGCAAATCAATTTTAGTTTTAGCTCTGTTGTCTTTCCTTTTTACCTCCCAAGGACTTGGAATTATCTCATTCTTTGTAAAAAATTGATCAATAGCTGCTTGAGCTTTTATTTCAGTTTCTGGGTCTGTACAATATATCTGTTGTGTAGGATATTCTTCTATCTTTGCAGGATGCATTAATGCTAACTCATCCACACTCCAAGAAAATTCTGTAGATTGTTGAGATGAATTCGAAGCCTAATATCATTAAAAATGTGAATCATTTGTAATTTTTGAAACACAATTTCAAATGAAATTAGCTGTAATTTTTAATAAATATAGTATTTAAAAGAATTACCTTACTAAATACAGTAGGACTCATCACAGATAAATGTAATCTATTAGTTAAATCAGTTTCAAATGGATTTCTTGCTATAAATTTTGTTAACCCGGATGGTGGAGTAATATGATTTGGAAGAACAGAAATACAGCCTATATTATTTTGATATGTAGTATGTTTATAAGATGATTCATATTGTTTCACAGGAGTCTTATATATCACAGGACTTTTAATTATAAAATTTTCATGTTCAATTTGACTCTTAATTGGTGTTGACCATTTTAATTGTTCCATTGCAATTTAGTATAATTGCAACAATTGTTTTGTATTTAATTTCAATTTACAACTGCAACAATATTTTTTTTAAGTTCCTGTTAGGGAATATGTTTAAAGCAGTTAAATATTATGAAACTCGCAGTTTTATTTGACAAAATTTTAATTATTGTATAGTTAATCAATAATTATTGTATAATTTATCAAAAATTAATTTTATTTTTGTTTTAAATCAATTTAAAAATTATTTAGAATACTTACCCTTAGTACCGCCTTTTCTCTAACGTCTTTTTTTGGCTCGATTTTTAAATTTATGACTAAAACTACATACAAATAGTACAGATATTTCACAAATTTACTTTATCAAACTATCTGTACTATTTTATATTCTTCGATTTTACATCACAAAAATTATATCGCTATAATTTGCCAATGTGTTTACAATTTAAATTATTTTGAAACAACGTCAAAGAAGAGTACAACGTATTACAGTCATGTGACTGCCACAGACTACATATCTAAAAATGATAGTGTGAAATAAGGAACCAAGTTTGAACTGACTTTGAGCGTCTCCTGCGGAGGAATGGAGGACCTCAGCGATCTCTGTTTCTCTTGGAACATCTATGTAGGAAAGACAAGGAGCGATCTTATTATTTTAAAAATTTGAGGCGAAGAAACAATACTTTCTCATCCTTTTTTTTTTCAAATATTTTTTGTATAATTATACAATGCATTATAGAGCTTGATTTTGTAATTACAAAGGGAATTAATAATAAGGGCGACATCGGCAAAAGTGGTGGGGACTTTATTGAAGTTAGCCAAGTTGCGCGAGTTGAGTATGGTTTACCGTGAATCAAATAATACGGGGATCATAAACAAACTGGGTTGGTTTGTCATGTTCTATGCTAAAATGTCATATTATAGAGAATATAATATCAATAAAAATTTACCAAGTGTTGAACTGTTCACTGTATATTCAGCTGGGGGTGGATACATTAATTGATTAACATTTATAAGCGTTAAACATAACATGTATTTGTAACCTATAAAGCCATGTCCTTTAATATATTAAAAATAACATTTTCTATACTTGTGTAGAATAAATTTTACATTTTAACTATTTAAAGTAGGTGATTCTTAAAATCTTAAATAAATTAATATTATGTTGCAATTTAATTTTCAGAGCTAATTATGTATTTTTAATTTTTGGTAGATGTTATATTCAATAATATTTAATATTTTATTTGGCTTATTAACATATAGAATATATTTTATTAAAAAGAAATCATATATTATAATTACTTTTATTACATTTTTTATAGAAATTAAATTAAAAATGGTTGCTGGTCCTACAGAACACGGCATACAAGCCGATGTAATATTTGTGATTGAAGGAACAGCTGTTAATGGAGCTTACCTAAATGACCTTAAAACAAATTATCTTATCCCAACTCTAGAGTAAGTTATGATACTTTATTTATATCATATATTTGTTCTTTAAAAAAATTTATTGTCATAAAGTATTGTTATTTGTAGATATTTTAGTCAAGGTGGCATTGAAGATAGGGAATATGTTTCTGAGGTAAGGATCTAAATAATTTTGTTCTTAATTGCATATATTTAACAGAAGAAAATTATTCAGCAGAATAGTACAACATTATATGGTATAGTAGTATATCATGCTGCTGATTGTTTACCTGCTCCATGTACAGAGACATTTGGACCATATGCAAATCCCCACAAACTGTTACTTATTTTAGATAAAATAGAGTAAGTACAGAGATTAGTATATAGATCCTTCAGTAATTTAAGGAATATTATAAGATACTTTTATGAAAATAGAATGGTTGGAGGAAAAGGAGAGTGTTTTGCAAATATTGGAGAAGGTCTTGCAACAGGATTACAGTGCTTTGAAGATTTACAATTACGACGTGAACCTAGTACAGCATCACAAAAGCACTGTATTTTAATTTGTAATTCCCCTCCATATCAAACAGTTATACAAGAATCATATAAATTTTCTGGAAATACTATAGAACAACTTGCTGTACTTTATCAGGAGGTATATTAATCAAGTTCACAAATTTAAACCTCATGAATTAAATTTATATAAAATTATTTTTTTTCAGAGAAATATTAATCTTTCAATTTTATCACCTAGAAAAATACCAGCATTATTTAAATTGTTTGAAAAAGCTGGTGGAGATTTACAATCTTCACAAACTAAAAATTATGCTAAAGATCCAAGACATTTAGTATTACTCCGTAATTATAATTTGAAAGAAAGACCTGTTAGTCCAACAATTGGAGGAGCTGTCCATACGACACCAGGCACTGCTGCACAAATTCCATTAAGTCCATTGCAGAGCAATGACAGTCCAAATACGAATCAAGTTCCACAAAACATTTCTCAATCAAATCAATCTCAAGGTCCTACATTTAGAAACCAAACGCCACAAAGTATTACTTCAGTTCATCAAGCATTAGTTCCAATGCAAACGGCTATGAATCCTGGACGACCTTCTTACAATCCTTACAATCCTACACCTGCAGGTGTAGTAGCAAGAACAGGTCATACTAGATGGAGACCTTTTGTGACACCAGGAACCACGGGTCCCACAAATACACAAGCTAGTGCTTTAATAGCACAATTAAATCAACCTCCTCCTTCTTTAGGACACAGTGTAACTCCATTTGGACAAAGAATAGATGGTAAAATACATATACAATTGTATTAAATTGTTTTTAAGAGTGTAAAATCTAACATACAATTTACAAATTCAGTAGGTAATACCAATGTTATGGCTGCTAATGCTCAACAGCAGCAACAACAGCAACAGCAGCAGCAGCAGCAACAACAGCAGCTAACACAACAACAACAGCAATTGAGACTAACAATGCAATTGCAACAGCAGCAGCAGCAACAACAGCAACAACAACAGCAAAACGTTCAACAAGGTTCAATGCCTATAACAGCACAACAATCCCATGGTCAAGGAGGACCACAATTAACAGTATCATGTGTTAGTCAATCAATGCCTACACAAGTTCCACAAACAGTTACTGCTTCTCAAACGCAGGCATCTGTATCATCAGTTACTCAACAGCAAGTAACACATTCTCAAGCACAGGTAAAAAATTTTAAAAACTTTTTAAATATGCCCTTGTGTCCAATGAAACACCCATATGTTAATCGGTAGCATATCCAATTATTTATTAAATAATAATACAACTGTTAAAGGGTAACGTAACTGGCGGTACAGTATCGGGTCCACAAATGAATACACCACGCGAAAGACATACGATATGGCAGGGTATTATTGAGTGGGTTGAAAAAGCTAAAACACCTGCTGATGCACCGAAACAGACAAGGCATCTTCCTTGTCAAGTTTCTGCCAATTCCAAAGATGGAGAACCAGAGTTGTAAGTCTTATTCAAATTATCTACTATAAAATGTTTTACGCGCAAAGGTATTATAAATTTAATTATTTACAGGAAAGCTGATACCTGGCCACAAAAGTTGATCATGCAGTTAATGCCAAAGCAACTGATAGGCAATATTGGTGGATCATATTTAAAAAATTCAAAATCTGTTCTTTTCCATCCAACACCTTGTGAAGCACTCGAATCATTAACAAAAGTTATGAGTTCAGGATTTGTTAGTATCCGTAAATGTTTGATATTTTTATATTTTTGAGAAATATTCTTAGTTATTAATGAATAAATATTGTAGGCCGGATGTGTTCATTTCACTTTTCTACCACCAGCGACAGCTTGCGACATAAAAGTACTTATTCTTCTTTATACGGCTGAAAAGAGGACATATTTAGGATTTATTCCAAATGATCAAACAGGTTTTGTAGATAGACTTCGAAAAGTGATTCAACAACAAAAAACATCACACGGTCCTGTAAGACAAGGACAAGTGCGTAAATTTACAATTTAGAATTAAATGTTAAAATTTTATTCAATAAAAACATAAGATGCATTTTAGGGCGGAGCGCAACAAGGAAACCAAATATCTGGTCCTATGCCTACCACAGGTACTTCACAAGGAGGTATTCTTATGTCTCAAACAAATACCATAGCTATGGGAGGGGGACAAATAACACAAAATGTGGTGTCTACAAATGCTCCACAACAAACATTAACATCATCTGCTGGTCCTCAGAATCAGATAAATATGCAGGTACAATCAAATAGCAAAAATGCAGTCAATGCAAATTTTCATATAATATGAAATATTGATTTTATTGATATACTGATAGAGCGGCGGCATGACTGGTCCTCAAGTAAATCCAGGTTCTGGAGCAATGATGGGTCAACAGAGACCACCATTTGATGACATAGAGATGGCTAGACATCAGAATTTATTAAAAATTCAGCAGTTACGGCAAACATTAGAAGCTGCCCAGCAACAGGAGGCTCAGTATAAATCACAATTGGAAGTAAATGTAAGTAAATGAGTGTAATAGAAAAAAAATATTAAACTATAAATTTCATGTATATAACTAACTTTATAGATTCAACAGAATTTAGAAGTAGCACAGCAACAAGAAATGCAGTATAAACAACAATTAGAGGTGAATTGATTTTAACAAGTGTTATACGTTCCTTTGTATGTTAACATTTTGTGCAAAAAATCAAATAAAAATGTTCTTACAGGCTCAACAAGCTCAAAGAGCCCTTAATCCTGGTGGTATGACAAATCAACAAGCGAATGCTACGAGATTAATGCGACCAGTTTCAAATATGGGTTTAAGGCATTTATTGCAACAAGTATGATCTGGATATAACAAAAAACATATGCGGTTGCTGTTTCATAAATTTTATTTAAAAACATTTTATCTTTACAGCCACAACCGCCATACAGGCAACAAGTTTTTGGCTTACAACAACAGATGGTAGGTCCTAGAGGTCAAGCTACAAGACCTATGGCTCCTGGCAATCCACAAAATCAACAATTTGAAGATGTTTCTAATTACGATTTTCTTGGATAAATGATTCGAATAGATATTTTTTAGGCAAAGATTCGTATACTATAGGTAATATATTAGAATGAATTGAATTGAATGAATTTATATTTAATATGTTATACATATAACAAAATGCTTACAACAATTGTATATATTAAGAAATGCATGTTAATACTATTTGTAAAACATATACATAAAACAAAAATCGATTAATGCAATGAAATGTGTAAACATATATTTATAACATTTTAATATTTTTATTATGTTAATTTAAAAATATAATAAGAATTGTTTATAGTTTATATCGATGTTGTTAAATTTACATTCTTATTACTTTTGTAATAAATATTTATAAACAATCTATAAATAAAAATGCTTTACCCAAAACGCAACAATTACGACAATTATGTACATTGTTGATAAGAAGACAGACACGTGGTAAAATGCGGCAAGGTTATATATGCATCGTTTTGTAACAACATGCGAGAACCTGTTGCACGAAACAGTAGAACATAAAGTAAATAATATAATAATAATATTATTGTTCGATATATTTTTGGATGCAATATAAAAGAACTTTTATTTCAAATAATAAACATATATTTTGGTATGTATAATATTATTAATTTTATTATTTAATCTATTGAGTTTACTTTGTTTACTAACGTCAAAAATGTTGATCTCTAAACACGAATGAGTTGATATTAATATTTACAATTTTTTTTTATACTTTTTTTTTACTGAAAAACATGTTTTTGTGTTTATTTATAATACCATCACAATAATAACTTAAGTTTAGAAAATTATTTTAATTATTTTTAATAAATTTATATATTTTTCAGATGAATTTAAATTTATTTTTAATAACATTAAGTTTTTGTTAAGAAATTTGTAATTTATGTAGCAATGAAGTTATTTAAACAAGTGTGAACTGTAGAAAAACACAGCGTATAATCTGTGTGAAGACAAAAATACTATTGAGTAAGACGTCCTCTTGACCTTAATACAAATCGTTTGATATAACGGAAATATGGATATTCTGTTTTGCAACTATCATTCTGATAATTTAAGATAACTCGGTAGTCCAGTAGGGGGTCTCAATGAGCCTACTTAATCAATTATAGTTTAGTACATTATGGTCCATCATCTCATTCTGTAGTCCTCTTATCCTACACTGTGTTATTTAAGTTTTTGGTGAATATTTTATCATTGTATAAATTTTTATTTTTAGATTATGGCTATCATAAGATTTTATAAAATACCTGGTTTAAAATCAGGTCAACTTAAAAATAAATTCAATGATTTGACTCATATATCAAATCTAATAACTGGCTTAGAAACTGAGTTGTGTTATTATGTTGAAATAAAAGAATCTTTAAGCAATGAAGAGCTAAAAGTATTAAAGTGGATTTTAACTCCTCCACTGGAACCGGATAATTTAAAAAATAATAGTATATTTGATGAAGAATTGGATAGCTATCTAATTATTGAAATTGGTCCAAGGTAAAGCAAGTTATAGAAAATGATTTAATTTTAGTGTAGAATATAGTTTCAGAGTTATTTAATTTTTATATGTTATTGTAGGTTGAATTTTTCCACAGCATTCTCCAGTAATGCTGTATCGATTTGTAAATCAGTACATTTACATAAAATAACTAGAATTGAAGTCACAACTAGATATTGCATTAAACATAATGGTGTAATTGATAAGAACGTGGAAAATGCTGTAAATAAACTATTTATAATATTTTTTTAAGTAAAATAGTAAATATTACTCATATTAATTTTTATATATAGATAATAGATGCTTTGCATGACAGAATGACTCAGTGCAGATACCTGAAACCAATAGAAACATTTGATCATGGTTTTAGACCAGAAAAGTGGTTTGAAGTAGATATTTTGAAAAATGGAAGAAAAGCACTAGAAGATGTAAATTCAAAATTAGGTATATTTTTGCAATAAAATAAAGACAATAATTGTATGTAAGACAAAATTGTATATTTTATTTGAAATATTTTTGCAGGTTTGGCATTTGACAGTTGGGACTTAGATTTTTATACAGATTTGTTTCTCAACAAATTAAAGCGCAACCCAACTAGTGTTGAGTGCTTTGATTTAGCACAGTCTAATAGTGAACATAGTCGTCATTGGTTTTTCAAAGGTTCAATGATTATTGATGGTGAAGAAATGAAAGAATCATTAATTGATATGATTATAGAAACACAAAAGTATTCAAATCCAAACAATACAATTAAATTTAGTGATAATAGCAGTGCCATTAAGGGATATCAAATAAAAACACTGCGACCAAATGAAACTTTTACCTGTAGTCCTTTTTGCTTGGAAAGTGTAGATCAAGATCTTATATTTACTGCAGAAACTCATAATTTTCCAACTGGTGTTGCTCCATTTAGGTAAATAATACAACAACTTGTTAACAAGATTACAATGGATTTTATAAATATTGTAATTCACAGTGGAGCTACAACTGGAACAGGAGGGAGATTAAGAGATATTCAAGGTGTTGGTAGAGGCGGATTTTACATTGCTGGAACTGCTGGATATTCCGTTGGTAATTTGCATATTCCAGGTTTGTTATTCTTTATTATCTTTTATACAAAATAAATAAATTAAGTATTCTTTGTTAAGTTTCAAATTATTTTTGTAGGATATGATCTACCATGGGAAGAGAAAAATGTACCATATCCCAATAACATGGCTTCACCATTAGAAATTATTATTGAAGCTAGTAATGGAGCATCTGATTACGGTAACAAATTTGGAGAACCAGTTATATGCGGTTTTGCTCGTTCTTTTGGGATGACGGATCATATGGGCGTTAGACGTGAATGGATTAAACCTATTATGTTTAGTGGAGGACTTGGCACAATGGATAGTAACATGTCACAGAAAGTTTCTCCACAAAAAGGTAAAAAATAAATATTACCAATGTAATTATTGTTCATATCATATAAGATATATTTCAGGTATGGAAGTCATAAAAGTCGGTGGTCCTGTATATAGAATTGGTGTAGGGGGTGGTGCAGCAAGTTCAATTGAGGTAATTTTATATGTGCAAAGAAGATTATCTGATTCATTAAAATTATATTGTAATGATCAATTAAAAATCAAGAGTTTATAGGTACAAGGTGACAATAAATCAGAATTAGATTTTGGAGCAGTGCAAAGGGGTGATCCTGAAATGGAACAAAAATTAAATAGAGTCGTTCGAGCATGCACTGAAATGGGACAAAAAAATCCAATACTTAGTATACATGACCAAGGAGCTGGAGGAAATGGTAGACTATATTTTCATACCCATAATATAACTATGCAATTCAATAAAATAATGTTATATCATTTATGTTTAAAATAACATTAGGTAATGTCTTGAAAGAATTAGTGGAACCTGCAGGTGCAGTGATCTTTGCAAAGAAATTTGAATTAGGAGATCCAAGTATCAGCACCTTAGAACTGTGGGGAGCTGAATATCAGGAAAATGATGCAATTTTATGCAAACCAGAAGATGTTAATTTGCTAAAAGAAATAGCGGCGCGAGAAAAATGTCCTATTAACTTCGTTGGAACAGTTACGGGGAATGGAAAGATCATTCTTTCAGAAGAAAGTGATTGTGACGCTTCAAAGTATTTAAGCGGAAATTACGAACCGGAAACAAGACATCCAGTTGATTTAGATTTAGAACTGGTACTTGGAAAAATGCCCCGTAAGGTAGATATTGTATAATGTTTAAGAAATATAATTTTCTAATAAGATTTTAATTAATTAGTTTTTCATGTTCTTATAGACCTTCAATTTTCAAAGACAAGTAATAAATTTCCCTGCTGTGGAACTACCACCAAGTTTAACTGTACCAGTTGCATTGGAAAGAGTCTTACGTTTACCTTCAGTTGGAAGTAAACGGTATTTGACTAATAAGGTTGATCGTTGTGTTACGGGATTAATTGCACAGCAGCAGTGTGTTGGTCCTTTACATACCCCTCTCGCTGATGTTGCTGTAACTGCAATTTCTCATTTTTCTACGGTAAGGAAAAGAGATAAAGCGAATAAGTATAGAAAACAGTAGAGTGATTTTATTGCTTATGCAATGACTGTATCAATTGTTTTTTTATATTCTTCGGCAGGTTGGTATAGCAACTTCTATTGGAGAACAGCCAATAAAGAGTCTCGTGAATCCAACAGCAGGAGCTCGTATGACCGTAGCGGAAGCATTGAGTAATTTAGTTTTTGCACGTATTTCTCATATACAGGTATTTCAATTTGTGCATATTATCTAACAAAATGAGTTTCACTGTAACTTACGCACTATGTGTTCAGGATATCAAGTGCAGTGGAAATTGGATGTGGGCTGCTAAATTACCAGGGGAAGGAGCTGCGTTGTACGATGCATGTACTGCTATGTGTACTTTTATGAATGAATTAGGTGTCGCAATTGATGGTGGAAAGGATTCTCTTAGCATGGCTGCACGAATCGGTAAAGATGTTGTTAAAGCACCGGGAACACTCGTAGTTTCTTGCTATGTCCGATGTCCTGATATTCAACAGGCAAGTTGAAAATGTCTTTTCAGGTAATGTTACTTAAACTTTATATTTAAATGTCATTATCATCGCAGGTAGTTACACCCGATTTAAAAGCACCTGCTGCAGGAAAAAGTGGTTACATATTGTTCGTCGATTTATCAGATGGTCAGAGTCGAATTGGTGGTACAGCTTTAGCTCAGGTTTATAATTTTCTTGGTAATGATGTTCCTGATATTCGTCAAGTTAGTACCTTTAAAAATGCATTCAAAGCTACTCAACGTTTGATCACAGGTAACCGAGTAAATTATATCAGTTGTAATATTTATTTGATTATAATAAAACAATATTTGGTACTTTTTCTGAAACAGAAGGAAAAATATTAGCGGGCCATGATATTAGTGACGGTGGACTCATCGTGTGCCTTTTGGAAATGTGTTTTGCTGGTATTTCTGGAATGAATATTAACATCTCTCATAAAGCAGGTTCACCGCTTGAAATTTTATTTGCTGAAGAAATTGGATGGATATTAGAAGTTGATAAAGAAAATCATAATTATGTTTTGGATATATTTAAACAATTTAACATTCCTATATATACAATTGGACGATCCAAAGGATTTGGATTATCATCAGACGTATGTATTACATATAATACTATGCAAACATATATTTATAATTTATATATGTGTAATATTAACAGATAAATATCAAAGTGGACGGGAAAACAGTCTTGGATTCAACAGTTTTATCTTTAATGACTTTATGGGAAGACACTAGTTATCAATTAGAACGTAGACAAACGAATGTTGACTGTGCATTTGAAGAATTTGAGGGATTGAAATCCAGGACAGCACCAGCTTATAAGTTAACATTTAATCCTGACGTGAAAATTTTGAACGTTCAAGAAAATCTATCTTGTTAGTAAACTTTTTTTAACTGCAAAACATAAAAATATTCTGTTAATATGAATTTTACATTTCTGATCTTCATCTAGCAAATATTATGGTTGCCGTGATAAGAGAAGAAGGAATAAATGGTGACAGAGAAATGGCTGCTTCTTTAATACAAGCTGGTTTTGAAGTTTGGGATGTAACAATGCAAGATCTGTTACAAAATAAAGTTACATTTGATAGATTTAAGGGTATAATATTTCCTGGTGGTTTCAGTTATGCAGGTGAGTTATTTATCTACCTGTTTATTTGAAATAGAAACAAATTATAATTATGTTCATAATTTTAGATGTTCTGGGTTCTGCTAAAGGATGGGCTGCAAGTCTTTTATTCCATCCTTCTCTACAAAAACAATTAAAAGCATTTATTTCTCGCGAAGATACATTCAGTTTAGGAATTTGTAATGGGTGCCAATTGATGTCTTTACTTGGATGGATAGGAAATGAACCTGGTACACAGCAATAACAAATTTGAAAAATATGAAATGTAACTGACATTTTTTAATTATTTTTTATGTTATAGATGAAGTTGGGAAGCCAGACGTTTACTTAGATCATAATATATCAGAAAGATTCGAATGTCGATGGAGTACCGTTAAAATTAATAAATCGCCATCGATCATGTTGAATGGAATGGAAAATAGTGTTTTAGGAGTATGGGTCGCACACGGCGAAGGAAGATTTACATTTAGAAATAATGAGGCTTTAAAAAAATTAAAGGATAATCACTGTGTAGCTATTAAATATACTGATGATTACGGTAATCCCACCGAACGATATCCTCTTAATCCTAATGGAAGTACAGGTAATACTTGTGTTTTATACTTTTTTATCTGCTCAGTTAATATATCATTGAAAGTATAATTCTTTTTATAGAGGGTATTGCTGCAATTTGCTCCGCGGATGGTAGACATCTAGCAATGATGCCACATCCTGAACGCTGTACTCAAATGTGGCAGTGGCCTTGGAAACCCGTAAATTGGAAATACAAAATTTCACCGTGGCAGCGCATTTTTGATAATGCATATGCATGGTGTAGCTCAAAATGTTAATGCATTGTATTGTTATTTTAGTCAACGTGTAAATAATACAATTGTACATTGCTTTTGCAAACTGCAAACTTATACAAATTTTAGTAAAGAATCACGTTTTCTTAATGTAAAATTTCAATTCACTAAATAAGTCTGATTTGAATTAGTTTTCGCTTAAAGTGCCAGTCATTATATGGGTCATCTTACAATGTTTAACAATACTCAGTGCTGTAGGTTACAAAATTCTTTATTTTCTACTCTCTTAACAAAGTATGGTAACATCGTTTTGTCAAATATTATAAAAAGGTAAATTACAATAAAAATTCGTTAATATTTTATTCATATTATTTAAATGTATTTTGTCTGACTTTGAACACCTGATTCGACGGTGTAAATTGTGAAAATTGATTATTTTCAAAAATATCATCTAAATGTAAGTCACATCGCAATATCACAACACCGGACGGATTTACCTTTACCTTAATTTTTGTCTGTGGTGTTAAAACACCATAATTCACGTCTTCGTACAAATCCTAAAACAAGTACGGTTTTTTGTATGCACTAATCCACTGTAAAAAAAGAAGAAATGTATTACATACCTCTACACTGTATCCACCAGGATATTGTAACCCAAGTTCCTTCAGTGTAACAGACACATCAGAAGGTGTACCATCTGTTCTTCTATTGACAAATGCTATGGCATAAGAGAAATAATTCTGATAGACAGGAGTTATTGGCCTTGCCCATATTTCGATACCTTTATGCTGAAATTATAACGAATTTTAAAATTAAGAAACTGGCAATGTTAATATTATAATTCATTTTATTGAATTTACTAACTTTGTAAATACGTCGACCCTGTATACCTAACGGATCTTGATCCACGGCAATGATTTTTTTGTTTTGTAAAATAGCTTTATATTCAGGCCTAATTGTTCGTAGATCAACGGACATTAATAAAGGTGCAGCTAATATAGCCCACAATGCCATTTGTGTTTTGCTTTGTTCATAACTTAAACCAAAATTACCGATGATCAACATATCTGGATCATTCCAATGACCTGGTCCAGCATTTGGAACAATCACATCTTGATTGTTTCCATAATAATCTATGATAGTTTCTAAACTATTCCATGAGTCTTGTATATCATCGAAATTTCTCCATAAATTACAGTGTTCTGTTATGGCAGTATAGTTTGGCTAGAATTTTATATAATTAAAAATCTTGTGATTAAATTGTAGTGGGGTCTCGCTATATGGCCGTGTGCGGGTTGTAGAAACGGGAAAAATTTGAACTTTATATTGCATAAATAAAAGTTTGTCTGAAGGAGAATTCCATAGGATTCATGCAATGAGCCATACTATAGAAAACCATGTAGCAAGACAGCATTGTAATAATTAGTCTTTGGAATTGTAAAAATAAATGTTTGTTATTGTATAGGATTACAACAGTACCAACCTGCATACCAGCATAAACTTGATAAACTGGCCAACTACAAGAATACACCATAGGCCGACCAGTTTGATTTAAATAAAATCCAAATTCAGGATATCCTAAAGTATATGAGTAATTATGAGTTTGAAACCTTTTGAATATAATTGAGTATATAATCATGAACTATTTTAATTATACCTCTATCCATTTCAGAAGGATGTGAGTAGCATCCATCTAATTTTACATAATCAACATCCCAAGATGCAAATGTAAGTGCATCTGTTTCTAAGTATCCTAATATTCCAGGATAACCAGCACATGTGTAATTACCAAAATCCTCATAAATACCAAACTTAAGACCTTTCGAATGAATCTATGTAGTAAAAGTAAATAAAAGTAACATCACAATTTTTCTTACAAATAATTTAGAAAAGATATTGAAACATACATAATTTGCAAGACTTTTCATGCCATAGGGAAATCTTTGTCTGTCAGGAACTAATTGACCATGAATGTCTCTATCTTTTTCCAACCAACAGTCGTCAACATTAATATATTCATATCCAACTGCAGCATATCCTTCTGCCACAATAATGTCTGCCATTGTGCGAAACAGTCTATCACTATAAAAGGTAAAAATTAATTTTGTTATTTCTATTTCTAAAACTGACAACACAATTTTATAATAAAATATTTACTTTTATATTTTGAAGGAACAGTATGAGTATTAAAATATAGTTATTACAAATAAATTATTGGTCCATTTATAAAATACTTTACTAATTATGAATTTCTGTATTATTACAAATATATCCTTGGAATAGAATATCAATTTGCATAATAGCTATGACACAGTTCTAAATTAAGTTACAGAGAATCATTTCTGAGGTCACGTATCCTTGATTCATATCTTGTGTTAGTTAATTTTGTTCTAATTGGTGTCTTATGAAACAACCTACTACATTCTTCATTCATATTCAGCATATTATTCACATATTTTAAAATATTCGTTTTACAAAAGCATTGCATTCAATTTCTTAAGTCAAATTGCACAACAAAGTCAACATGGAAAGAACAATCATGCGATAAATAAATGAAAGTATATATTGTATTAAAGAGTATAATAAAAAATTTAATATATAACAAGTCTTTGTGTAATAAACAGTTACTATGTTAATGATTAAGTCTATTTATGCATTAAAAATGTTTTACAATTTGTTTTACAAATGACCAGTAACCAAGATTCTTTATTTATTACTTTCTAAAATTTGTTAAAGCTTTTATATGTAAAGTCATAACAATTTGCTCATATTATTTGTACATGAAAATTATATTTTGTATTTTGTTTATAAATCACCAGCAACTAATATTTATGATATTAATCTTCAGTCTTAGAGATATGTAACAAAGATGCTAATGAAGTTTCACTTTATTATACAGAATCACTTGTACGTTCAGGTACCATCTAAAATTGTCATACACAACAATACAGTCCTCAAAACACCAAGAAAAATACTAAGCACAAGAATTAGACACTCAGATTTTGTAAAATTTAGGAAAAAGTACAAAGAGAAACATTCTTACCTGATGCAATTGTCAGGATCATTTTTGCAGTCTGTGTTACACCTAAATCGTTCCCAAGCAAGCCACCCCATTGGTGGTGTTTTCACGAGACCATTATCTAGGGCCAATGTCAAATTTACCACTGACACAAGCAAACACCATATCCGTATCATCTGCAACATTCTACAAAAACGCATGTTCCTTTGTTTAACTGTTTAACTTTTCACTATTACAAAGCACTGAACACAGATTATGATGATCCTACGACTCCGGTAGCATAATTTTGTTAATATAATTTAACAAAGAATATGCTCAGTTGGAGTCTGACGTAGATCTGGTCATTAGGAGCTAAGGAAAATTGCCATCCACATCCTGCACGGCCGTTGGCAGACTGATCTGATATAAGACCTCCAAGCTAAGAGTACTTTCACCCAATGCCCCATTTCATTTTTACACACAATCACTGTCGTTTGTGGTGTGAGCATTGATTTCCTTTCGTACACATAACGAATGGTTTCACACAGTAACGTGCGGATCGCCGTTGTAACTATTACGGTACAATTACGCCTACGAAAGACAATCGTGGGTATTTTATACGCGAATTCCCTTTGTCTTTGGTTACCTCGAACGGCAGTCATTGTTACGCACTGACATAACCCTTCCACGCGTGCTTCGAACATTTTTTCCATTTTAGACAAATATTCTTTATTTACATTCGATTTATATATCATATTTTAATTAGAAATATGTATCTAATATAAATCCGTGAAAAAAACGATAGTATTATGTTATAAATGTAGTGATTAAATAGATCAATTGTTATTATTTATTTACATTGATTTAAAAATACTTGACAAATATTATTATCGAAATTACGTACGTCTACGAGATTACAGATAAATGTTTTAAGATACAAACGATTACAAACTTGAAACTTCGATAACAATGAGAATAATGAAACACGTTGACCGAATTCAAGTACAGACGTACGTATGACTGAAATTGTGTGTACGTAGCATGCAGGTGTCTATTGAAATATTAATATAACTAATTTGTATAAAAAAATAAATAAATTTTACTTGTTGCTTTAGTTGTATAATTAATCACTCCTTCAAATGAACGGTTCATATACATATTACATGTACATTTGTTTTTTAAACGATCGCATTCAACACTTGTTTGATGAAAAGTAACAAGTTATTAGAGAACTGATTATTATTTTTAACAGTATGCTTGAGCGTTGATCGCTCCTGGTTTATGACAACATTACTTTTCATACTTTCGTTTCGATTACCTAATCGAAAGGAAAAATCGATAATACAGCGGATAAATTCTAATATATCCTTATCGATTGACGATATCGTTTGCCGTAACGATTTAAAATTGCAATATAGTTTCGCTATGTGGTCCTGAGTAGCGTTGTAAGAACGAAAAAGTTGTGGGAAGTCCCATATATGTGAAATTGAATAAGTGTAAGATTAATACGCTTACCTGTTTCGATGAACTTAGGATTGTGATACGAAATATGTTTTGCAAGCTTTATTTGCGATATATATACCTTTAAATTTGTATGCATTAGATAAATCAATTAAGATTAAAAATTTTGGTATCGTTCAACGCCTTACAGATAATACATTTTTATATGCAGTATCGATGTTTACTTCTTGCTCACGATATGATCGACCAGATCAACATTGAATTTTATTTAATTTCACTCACATCATAGATAGTATGCTATTTTTGTTTCAGACACTTCAAATTTATTTTCAACTTGTTCCTCTACAGATTATCTAAAGGTCAATTATTTATTATTGATATTTGTTATTTCTATGGAAAAGATTACTTATTCTATAATGATGTTTTTATCAGTACACGATCTCGAAGGTGACATTTTAGAGTATCTTATTTAAAAAAACATTGCTAAGTATAATAGAGTTGCACATCTGTTTTAAATGATAAAAAATGGATGATGCAAAGTCTGATCTTGACAATATCATTTACATCACTTGTTTATAGATAAGAACGTTGTTTACACTCGAAAGAGACATGTAGTTCTTAGTCAACAATGATTCTCATATGTTACACTTGTGATTGAATATCTGCTTAAAAACAACTTTCTTGGCTAACCCATAATTTGAATATTGTTCAAATTAGATCCCGCTTTCGTTAGAAATTCGTATTGCGCTAGGGAGGGTCGAGGGTAGCGCCACGTCGCGTCATATTAGCAAACCATTGATTCTCGGTCTTCGTCACGCTACGGTCGCACCTTTTCCCCTTTTTAACCCCTTTTTCGTTCTCGTTCGGTTGTTCCGAACCCCCAACAATCCTGCAGCCACCGTTTAACGCGGGGCTGCCGGAGG